GGTAAGTCCCACTCGGTTGCCCATTGTTGGACCTTATCCTGGTCGTTCTGCACCAGTGTGTCAACCGGGCCAACGGTTTTTACGTCATCAGCGAACTTAAAGCACGGGATTCCTAAGTTCTGATAGACGTCATCGAAGTACAGCAGGAATAGTAGACGCCCAAGGACTGCCCTTGAGGTACCCCACTATACATGTACCCTTCCTCTGACACTTCCTTCCCTACTCGCACCCTGAATGCCCTTCTAAGCAGACCTGCCCTGATCCACGCCACTATTTGGTTTGATAAGCCGAACCACTGGAGCATGAATAACAATATGGGCTGGTTTACTGAATCAAAGCCTTCTGGAAATCTAAGTAGATTACCTCGACCTTTCCTCCCGCATCGATTATCCTCGTCACTTCCTCCAAGTAGCATAGTGGGTTCGATAAACAAGATCTCTTACGCACGAACCCATGTTGCGATACGGCAACCAGTCCGTGCCTTTCCAGGTGGTCAATTATTCTGTTCCGAATCACTTCTTCATCACTCTTAGCACCACCGAAGTTAGGCTAACAGGCCTGTAATTTTCCATGTCACTTCTATCTCCAACTTTGTGTATAGGCGTGATAATGGCGTGCAGCCACTCCTCCGGCAAGGTTCCAGTTTCTAGCGAAGCATTGAAGAGATTCGCTAGCGGACCTGCTCCTAGTGATTTCAGGATGGCCGGTTGGATGCCGTCCGGTCCGGGTGTTTTGTGCTTAACCAACTGAGAGGTGCTTCTTTCGACTTCTTCACCCTTAATTGGGTGATCGCACATTGCTATTGGATAGTTTGTCCCATTGTCTGTCCTGTAAACCTGCTGAAAAATACCTTTTAGTGCTTGTATTTATATTTGTATGTGTATAGACTTTTGCGAGAACAGAATGTTCACATTTCAGTCAAAAATTTACACATCTCATCAATAGAAGGAAAGATACAATTAAAATGTTTAGCCTTTAAGGTTACTGAGAAATTCTGAGGAAGCGCGCTCTCGGTTTACAAGGATTC